AGGCATTAGTTTGAACTTTGAACTCACTCCAATTTATTCTTTTGAACATCATTGTTAGTGTGGGATTAATTTTATTAACACTCTCAATGTGGATTATCATTGCAATATCCATAAAAGGAGAGATTATTCTAATTGATTTTTATCGTTAATATATTAATTGATTAAAGGATAAAGCGATAAATTTTTTAAACAACCAAAATAAGAAAGATGTCAAAAATATAAGCAATGGGTGGAGCATTTCCCATATTATAAAGTTTAACTAAATTCGACATAGCGACAGTAATTATAATTATAAAGTTAATATTTTGAAAGTGTATTAACAAAACAAATAAGAAAAGTTAACAAGGACTGGCGAGACAGATACAGTATAATTTAGGACATTAAAGTCATGTTTAATTGCTATTTGATTGTGTGGTTATTTAGGAGAGCTTGTCGAGAGTGAGATTTTGTATAGTCTATTTATCCTCTCTTTAAATTGTTTGTGATGGGTGAACACGGTCATCGATCTCTTCTAGAATCACTAGTTAGGAAGATTCTTGTGCACTCACTCCACACGAGATACCAAGACCCAATCAAGTAAATAAACTTGGTATTATATAATTAGATGTACAAAAGAGGGTTCACCAATGAACGAATATCTCACTTTACTCTTTCTAGTTGGAACCATCACGAGAAGTAATTTTTTCTTGCCTCAAATGAAAGGTTACAAAATCTATTTATACTACTTATAAAGTGATAGGGATTGACTTTTTCTATAATCTTCCGCATGCCTCTCTACATTCTCGATTCATTGAAGAAGTCTCCACAAGCTTTCATGATCTTCTTGAGAAATCTATATGAGTTTACACTTATTTAGAACACTTTAAACTGCTTTACAAGCTTCAACACATTTTTCAAGATTTCTACACTTCTCTAGAGACTAGAATATTCCAGAAGATTCTACAACATTCTACACACATCTAGAGAGTGTTATATTGCTCTAAACTCCACACTATTTTAGAGAATTCTGTTTATTTTAACATAGTCTTACAATTCTCTAGAGTTTTACAAAGTATTTCGAAATATTGAATTACATTTTAAAAGTTTGGTACGTTGCGGCGGATTTAATGCACCAAATTCTTTCATGTTATATAAATTATGCGCATTAGCCTCTTATGGTCTAAAAATGTGTCAAACTCTCTATGTTATAATTAATCGAGCACAAAATCCTTTCCAATAACATATTTAATAATTTGATATTAACTTGGCTTAATATTTGATTGAATATGCAAGTAGATTTATCAAGATATCTAAATTTCAGGAAAATTGTCATAAATAGGAGTAAATGACTTTTGGAATTCCAAAATAGAACTACTATTATTTTCTTTTCAAAATAGGAGTCGTTACATGATCGGGAAAAAATGTCATTAATTATAATACATACTGTCATGTCGAATGCATAGTACTGCAACTATTTGACCATCATGACTAAAAGATGACAATGAATATTATCATGCATGTTATTCCTATTTCAGGAAAAAAACATATCAGCCCTATTTTGAAATTCCAAAACCTATATACTCCTATTTAAGTCTCCCTTATATAAATACAACAATCGTTTTTCTTTTATCTAGCAATTTAATTTGTTCTTCAAGGGTTTTTGTCCATGATTACTTATATAAGACAATAGGATTGACACAATTCTTAAATCACATGGGCTAATGCACATAATTTATATATCATGGGGGCTGATGCATTATTAGAAGCTGTTCTCTTCGTCTGATCTGAATGTTTCTGATCTGAATTTTTTAAGATCTGATCTGAATTTTTCTGATCTGATATGATCTGAATCTTTCTGATCTGAATCTTTCTGATCTGATCTGAATTTTTCTGATCTGATCTTAACTTTCTAAACTGGTATATAATATTATTAATACTAATAATAATAATTCTAATAATAATATCAATAATAATAAATTATAATATCAATAATAATTATAATAAATTAATAATAATAACTATTATTACTATAATTGTAATTAATTAATAATAATAATAAAATAATAATAATAGTAATGGTAGTAATAATAATAATACTAATAATAATAATAAATAATAATAGTAATAATAGTAATAATAATAATAGTAATAATAGTAATTATTATAATAATGATAATAATGATAATGATGATAATAATAATGATGATAATGATAATGATAATGATAATGATAATGATAATGATAATGATAATGATAATGATAATGATAATGATAATGATAATGATAATGATAATGATAATGATAATGATAATGATAATGATAATGATAATGATAATGATAATGATAATGATAATGATAATGATAATGATAATGATAATGATAATGATAATGAGAATGATAATGATAATGATAATGATAATGACAATGACAATGAGAATGACAATGACAATGATAATGACAATGACAATGACAATGACAATGACAATGATAATGATAATGATAATGATAATGATAATGATAATGATAATGATAATGATAATGATAATGATAATGATAATGATAATGATAATGATAATGATAACGATAATGTTTCCAATTTGCTATGAATGTTTCTGATCTGATCTGATCTGAATGCTTTTGATCTGATCTGAATGTTTCTGATCTGATTTGAATGTTTCTGATCTGATCTGATCTGATCTGAATTTTTCTGATCTTATCTGATATGAATCTTTCTGATCTGATCTGAATTTTTTTGAGCTGATCTGATCTGATCTGAATAAAATAAGAATAAGCAATAAGTAATAAGAATAAGACGAACAAAACAACACCTTAAACCCACGCTCCGGGTGAGATGCATGTTAAAAATATTCATCTCATAGTAATACTATGGGTGCAAACGAGTCAACCCGCTCGTGAACTACTCGTGAGTCGCTCGCTCACAATAATTCTACTCACTTTAGTCAAACTCAAACTCGAATCCTTATAGCTCGTGGCTCGGCTTGAGAGCTAGAATATGTACAATTAAATAAACATAAATGTGTGTGCATGTATAATACGCACACATATTCATACACATATGTAGATATATGCACACAATATATGTGTAAATGTTTTATATTTATTTATTTATTTATTTATTTATTTATATGAAAATATAATATTAATAGCTTCAAAATAGAAAATTTATTTTTAACTCGAATTTCAGGTTGAGTTCGAGCATCTTATCCGATCTCGAGCCGACTCTAAATCAAGCTCAAGTTGAGGTAGAGCCAAAATAATTAGACTTATTTAGGGGTGAGCAAATAACCGATATAACTGACCTGATCGAAAACTGCTGACCGAACCGCCTGAAAATCGTTTTTTGCCAAATTTTGGTTATCATAAATTAAAAATAATAGGTTATTCAGTTATTTGGTTTTTATTTGGTTTTATTTTTTGGTTATCAGTCGGTGTGCGATAACCGTCCAAAATATATGAGTACATATATTCTAAAATATAATATGAAATAGAACAATTGTGGAACGATGAAATATTTCAACGTCATTTTGTTTTGTTTTTGTTATCGTATTGTGCTTTGTACTATTATTTACATTTAAATATTTTAAATCCATTTTGGTATTTATTATTTTATTTATGGATGTGCTATATACAACTTTCGTAATTTTGAAAAATACTTAGTATATGCTTTTGAAAAAGGGTCGGTATTCGGTTACCAGACGAAGTGAATGACAATTTTCAGTCAATTTTTATAAAGTTTCGGTCGGTTTTCAGTTGGTTATGAGAGTAAAAATTATTGGTTGGTTATTCATTTATCGGTCCGTTATTTGACTGACCGACCGAATGCACATCTGGACTTATTGGTGCTTGACTAGAGCCACTGCATTCTTTTTCACCCCCACCCCGTCGAATACTACAATTCGTATAAAACAATTCATTATATAAGGCTTTAATCGGTGTGATTTTCTATTTTCTATTTTTCTCAAAGCAAAATAAAATTTTGATAATCAGAAAATTTTATTTTATGTGGCCATTTTTAAATAATCGAGATGTTTACTATATGTATAGTTTTCTATTGCTTCATCAATCTTACAAAAATACGCAATTATATTTGCTTATAGTCGCCTAACATCAACTTACAAGCTGGTTGATAAGCCTGATAAGCCGAAAATAGAGGTCTCCAAACGGGCTCTAAAGTAAGTCAGTCGGGTTGTTAAAAAAAGAAATTTTCTAAATAGAAGTAAAAACGTTTGTGAATTTCAAAATAAAATTCTCATATTTTTATTACTGGTATAAGTAATTACTATTATATTTTAGTATTACCAGACTAAAATAATATAGAAATATTTTCGAAAATTGAATTTCTAAAACGTTTTCCTCCTGTTTTCGAGATTTCCCCCTGAAAAATGTATTAACTGTAATTCTCGAAATAGGAGGAAAAAATGTCAAAACAACTCAAACATAAATCTAAATTTATGTACTGTAGACTAAACTTATATTTATTTAGAAAGTAAGTACAACATGTATCGTAGTTATGTAGATCTAAACTTATTTTTATTCTCTCTAATGATAACTTTAGTCGAGCCCCAATCGATCAAACACGTCAAAACAACTCACACATAAATGATGTGATTTTCTCTTTTTCATATGTATGAAAAAAATGAACTACATTTTGCTACTAGAATTAACTGTGTTTAATATATGCCTTTTAAAGCCACAAAAATTGTCTTAGACACACCCATTAGAGAATTGTACCAGCTGTTAGCTAGAACCCCAATGAAGAAGAGTTCAATAACTAGTTGATTATTGATGCTCAAAATATTAATGATAAAAGTAACAAGATATAAAGCGATACGATTATTCGAGGCTACACTGAGATGAGATATAGAATCAGACGACCTCCAAGGACCAACCTAATATAGCAACACTGTTGAACTTGCAACTCAAAAGGCAATTGAAAGAAAATAAATTGTCTAAACTATAAAAGAAATAAATTATTTCATTATTTCATTTTTTAAAAATGTTTAATTTGAAGTCAAACAATTTGATTGTGTCACAGTGACACTCCCAAGGAGGAAGTCATGTGTTCGGAATTCATCTAAATCAAGGATGTTAACATTTATCAGAACACATATTATAAAAAGAGAAAATACAACAAAAAGTGTTTAATTTAAGTAGAAATCGTTACTTCCTTCATCCCGCTAAGATTATGTAACACCCGGCTCCGCAGGATCCAAAGTAATTACTCCTGAATGTCATCCAAACCTCTAGTACTATCCTCACAAACTACCACAAGCCTCACCGCATACTTTGTCCTCACTCGTGTGCGTCCTGAGAAATTCACAGGAGGTCACCCATCAATTAAAATTGTCTCATATCAAATTTGACAAAGTTTGTATGGTTCAAAATCATTCTTACTTATCAATTCAATATCAATATCATAAACGCTTTTTTTCAAAAAAATCAGCACCTTGATACTTCCATCGCCCAATCCTCCTCATCACAATGTTAGTGGGACGAATGTAGTATTCAACATTCATTTTTATTTTTGTTAAAGTAAAATGTTGAAAATAACCTTTATTAAGTTTTTGGGGAAACACTTCCCTAATCTCAACTTAAGTGAATGGGGTGAAACTACTGGTTGATTTGGTTCTCAAATTCTCAAAATGGTTAAGGACTTTGTAACCTGTGCATGTGGTAAATCTAATCAGTTTTTTGAAAATCAAATCTTTCAAATTTCACTACTTTTACTCAGAAATGAGGCTGCAAATGTCTATGGGTGAACTATATTACATCATAAATCTGTTCCCTTAGCGAAGTCTTTCACATTGGATATTGAATTATCTGTCACAAAAAGCGGAAATTATATCTTAATTTGCTCTTACGTACTACACAAAAAACGTCATTGAATTACAATTGCTTTTGGTAAATTGACCCAAAAACCTTAAATTAACACAAATAAATTTACTCAGATCAATGAATCTTAAGAAGTCAAATTTCCTTATTGGCTTCAAATTTAAACGTTAATTATCTGTTTAATTAACTTGGTTCTCAACCGGAGCCAATCATGCTGTAATCGATCGTTTAAGGCGCTTGTAAATTTGCAGGTCATAGCAGTGCTATAAAATTTAATTAATAAAAACGCAGCTCATAATAACATGCAATATAATAATTAAACTTATTATACGAAATTGCTCTAAATAGTGAAATTTCAAAATATGAATATTGCCTCTCCACTAAGATTGATCATATTTCTTTTTCGATTCGTCCTACTAATATCGTTAAATATCGAATTTGGTAAAATTTGTTTGGTTCTAAATCATTCTTAATTTAGTTTTACTTTTTTGGTTCAATAACAATCTAATAAAATCAATTTCCTTAATAATCGCATCATATCATCATGTTTCAATGTTAGTGGGATGAAGGTAGTACTATATTTTCCCCGTAAATAGGTATACTTGCCATCACAACCATCTTTTTTTTGTAAAATATGATAATAATAAGGAAAAAGGGTCAAATACACCATTCTACAATTACAAATCGGTCACTTAAACCCTTGTACTATAAAAAAAGGGTCATACAAACCCATCTACTTTAAAAAACAATCATATAATCCAAAATACCCAAAAGTAACCTATTATAGCAGGTCATCCTTCACTTGCTCGGTTGCTGCCATTTTTTTTTTGCATTAATTAATGGCAAGCCATGCAGGAAGCCATCTCCCACCCAAACGTAGTCCTCACCAAAAGCTTTAATAAAAACTACCACCTCCATGGGAATTGGAACCGTACCGCTGACATTATATGAGCACCATGAATGGTGTACCAACTCTACAAGATGTATTGTTGTGAAAAATCTACCTCAAAACGTATAAGTAATGTCATAGCTCGCACTATTATTAGAAAACTAAACATACAATATAATTGATTATATGTTACATTAAACGGAAAATAGACCAAAAACAAATCTGTAAATGCACAGTTTTTTTGCATTATAATTGATTATATGTTACAACCAGGGTTCGATTCCCTAGCAGGACAGTTTTTTTATGGAAAAATTGGTTAGGCTAAGCTACACACATGCGGATGGTGGGGATTGTGGAGGAAACTAATAAAAAGAAAATGTAAAAATAAATATGAGAGAGAAAAAGGGAGGATGACCTCCTATTAAAGGTCACCTTCAGGTATTTTGGTTGGATTTATTGTTTTTTTAGAGTAGATGATTTTATATGACCTTTTTTATTGTATAAGGGTTTAAGTGACCAATTTGAAATTCTAGAAGGGTGTATTTGAACCTTTTTCCTAATAATAATGTCATATTATTAATGTCTGATAATGTCAAAATATGACAATATTATATCCAGCGGTAATTCACTCATATTCAAGGAGTATGCCATTATTATACCTTTATTTAAAAAATTCACATTATTTTAGCCCTATTCCCTAAAATTCCCCTAAACTTATTGTGACAGCATTATTAGAATATAAGGAACATCACGATAAAAAGCCTACTCTAAAATGTCAGCACTTGAATTAGACTTAGAGTCAACCACATTTCAGAAAACAATGACTCGTTGATCTTGTAATGGAAATAATTGATCCAAAGACGGTCAAAACAGAACTCTCATCACTCAATCCAAACTCAAGAGTCTGAGACAAAGAAAAATAAAAAGCAATGACAACAATTAGACCCAATCCAAAAAATAATTATTGGAATTTAGCTGCTTACCCAGAACCACGAGAAGTTCAAGCTGTCTCGCCTTGCCATAATGTTTCTCAGAAACCTCAGCGGGTCTAGTATCCAGCACCCGCCTCTCCTCCGTTTTTGGCTTGCCCAAAGCAACTACATCGTCACATGCCTTCCCTTCATTGTCTGCCTCTTCTCTGTCATCTCCTTCCTCAAAGACCTGTTCGTTCTTCTCTTCTCCAATAACCAAGTTGTCATACCGGCTGATGATGGATTCCATAGCTTCACTCCTACCCGATCCCTCATGCTCCGTCATGGAGAGAGTACACCGAACCACCCCACAAACCCGCACAAAACAAAGAGAGAGAAAACGGCCGCCTTCGTTGAAGCCGACTAGCGGAAAAGCCAAAGCTTTACTTTGAGGGTAGACGACCATTATTTAGAGAGAGTTTATAGATAAAATGATTATAAAAATGAAGTAGCATCCAATCAGAAAAACTCTACAACCCAACATATTCAAATGAACTCGTTTGGTAATACCGAAATCGGCTGAATCGTTGATTCTGCTGGAAAAATTTATGAAGTTCTTCTTGAAGTGACTGCATTGGCTGATTTCGCTGATTTAAGAAAAAATTATATTTAAAATATATCTTATTAATAAAATAAATACACAATTATATGAAAAATAACTAAAATGGTCATCTACAGTAACTTCAGCCAATACAACCGAAAAGTAACTCCAATCTTAATTTTTCTTATTAATACACAATTCACCATGAAAAAATTGATTGATAAGTATGATAAGCTGAAAACATGATCACCCTACGAGTTCTAGGTATAGTGAAACTTCATTTAACCTAAGATCATATGAGACCAAAGCATATACATTCAAAATTTCAAACTAGATCAAATAAGAGTAAATTAAACGGTAAAAGGCTTAAGAAGACTAAAAACACTAAATTGGACTAGTTGAGATGAGAACATAGCACACTATTTTTTTTTTGAAAGGCATAGCACTATTAGATCTCAATAAGAAATAACCACGCCATTGCTCAAGTATGATGGTTACAGTCACGACTCTATCAACCTTTAATATAACAATATTAATATTAATGAATTTATCAAGTATGACAATAATTTCTCATATTTAGCAAATAAAAATTCATTTCTCATTTTTTTAGAATTTCACACTATCTTACTCGTGTTTAGGCAACAACAACAACACTTTAATTCTACTTGTATTTACTCGTGTTTAGGATATGTTTTAAAAAGGAACTACTCTATTTGCATTTTTCTATCACGGCGCCGCCATGTCTTCCGCCTAATTTTCTTTTCCGATCCACGTCGCCGCCATGTCTTCCGCCTTCTCTATCACGGCGCCGCCGACCTCTCCAACTACGCCGCCGCCCCTGCAATTCTCCACGGCGGACGTAGGCATCTCGGCATCTGACTGCTCCTCCCCCGTCCAGCATGCCGTATCTCAGCCGCAGGTCCAGGTTGCGGTCTCTCGGCCGGTTGGCAGCATCCCCGCGCCACCGCCGACGAGTGAGTCTATGGCGAATCCGTTCCCTCCGTATGCAGCGCCAACGCCATATTCACTATTCCCTTCACTGCCACCGCAATTCCCTTGGCAACCGAGTCGCCCCCTCCTGCCGCCGGCTAGCCCTCGTCCCACGCCGCCGCCAACTTCTCCCTTTTTCGGTCCCTCATTCGCTGGTTTTCCCGGGGTTGTTCGCCCTCAGCATGACAACCCTCTTTTCGGCTCTCCTATGGCGGCCATGGCACAGACAGTTTCTCATGGAATTGCAAACGTGGGCCAAATTGTTACCATCAAACTCAAGGCAGTTGAAGATTTCTTACATGGCGCACTCAATTCGAATCCTTCCTGGTGTCACAAGGTCTTTTTGGTATGTTAGACGGCTCTATTCCGGTACCTCCCTTATACACTCTGGATTTTAATAATCATCAATTAGTTAATCCTGACTATTATCATTGGCTTAGAGTAGATCAAACAATTCGTTCTTGGTTGTTTGCTACTTTATCTCGTGAGGTATTAACTGATGTTCATGATATTAAACATTCATTGGGTATATGGGAGCGCTTACAATCACGATTTATGTATGCCAGTTTACCTAGAGCTATGGAGCATAAACGCTTATTGTCTAATATAAAAAAGAAATCAAAGCAGTCCATGGATCACTATTTACGTGATATTAAAAATTTAGCTGATGCTTTAGCAGCAATTAATTCCCTTGTGACTGAGACAGAATTGTTACAAAGCACACTCCAGGGTCTAGGCCCTGAATATCAATTTGTTACTGGCACTATATCATTGTTTCCTGAGAGCTTTCCACATGACATCCTTCACCCAAAACATAGAACATGTAACGTAATACATCTGTCCCAAAAAACTAGCTTTGTCATTTCATAAAATTTGAATCATGATTTTTGATTAGTATAATAATATTGGAATTTATAAATTTTATACTTTTGAAATACTTTTGACAAAAAACATTTTCATATAATTTTTATATTATAAATAATCTCCGATAAAAATATATGGTTGGTCAAAGTTTTAAAATTGGCAAAGTTTTTTGGGACGGAGGTAGTATTTTATACTGACACATGCTAAAAATAATTTACAAATGATGGTTCGAAACTCACAAAAAACAAACAAGTTTTAGTATTAGGCATATTACAATCGTGCAACGCACGATCGAATTTCTAGTCTCATATACAAGTTATAAATAATTTTCCAAAGTTTAATTAATGGAATGTTCAAATTTATTAACTAATAAAATTAATCATTTTAAACAACTAGTTCATACAATTAGTTAAACTCCTGACTTTCTGTTAAACAAAGTTAACTTATATTTTTTATTCAAATCATGTCAAAGAATAAATTAACTACAACTACTCATTACAACATTCAACAATTTAGAAATAAAATAAGATATGATCATGAACAATAACAAAAATAGAAAGTATTAAAATAAATTCTTCCAACATCTAATTTTATATTTCTTTCCCAAATGAGGATCATTTATACTATGTCCTGAAGCTATATGAGTATGGGGTTCATATAACAGTAACAAGAACTACTTTTTATGAATTCAAATGGAAAATAAGAAATGTTTAAAATTAATTTGGAGCATTTTCATCAACAATTGAAGAAATAAACAACATATTTTGAATTTATGAGGATGAATTTTCATATAAATAACTTACAAATTGGAGCTAAATGAGGAAGATATGAAAGATAGAAATTTGAAGGTGCGTCAATGGTAAAAATCTGAGCTTTGCTGAAGAGGAAGACGTCCTTTTTATGTGATTTGGGCGTGAATTGATGTGTTTCGAGTTTTGAAAGGAAGGGGCTTTTATAGCTGGAGTTTGGTAGAAGGAGGCCAGAAGGGTGGCCACCCTCCGACCATTGACGTCAGTCTTCCGTCACATCTCTAGAAAAGCTATCTGCATGCGTCAAATCCACCGTGTGCGGACGCTTTTTTTTTGCCGCATCCCATCTTTCCCTAGCGATGTGTGGCTCATAAATCACATACTGCCTCAGGCGTCCATGAATGGCGGCCGCCTTCCTCCATTTTGTCGCCATGTAAAAGATTTCATGCAGAAAATACCAAATAATCAAGGGTGCCCAGAATGGCGGAAGACTTTCATCAAATGAAAATTTGTCTTATCCAATGTTCTAGCCCCTTCTCTTGGCTAACTATTGAAATTCGAATTACATGATTTGGATCTATAATGCAAGAGATATGATTTAAATGGTGAGAACATGTCAGTCATCATCTCAACTGTGAATGTCTGACTTCAATGAGAATGTACATTCTGCGATCATTATTTTGATCTGTGTTATTCATAAGAGTTGTAGAACAGAGAATGATCTGTGTAATGAAACTTTTATCATGACATTTAAATTAGCATGCACAAAGTTATGATTAAAATACAAACATATGTCTTCCCGGATGATTCACCTTTATCAAAGGTGGTCATAATGCCATATAGACTACCCTTTTTGGGTGATATGAGCTTCTTTCCTTAATTTCTTCCTCTCTTGAACTCTCCTAATTGAACATTTGTGGATTTATCTTGTAAAGTTCCATAGTAGTTCACTTGTTGGTAAAAATGTCACTTTCTTCACACAATTGACCGGAAAAGAGGTGAGATATATATGAATACACAGACTTTTGATGCATCTTTTCACATGTAAACTTGAAAATAGACAAGAATACCATAAACTAAAATCGTACTTAGTTTTAGCCGGGGAAAAATCCACCCAATCCATATAATCAAAAGTGGGGTGTGTAACCTCAGATGAGGTGTGAATTGATGTGAATTGAGTGCATTACAAAATTGTTAACTTTTTACAACTTTTTACATGACGAAGTATATGACTAAGCCTCAACATCAAAAAACTATAACGAAAAGGGCTAAGTGTTCAGTTTAATCTTCTCACTTGGTTCGAAAGAACCAAAACGCCTCTTTATACCCATGTTTTAGTATTATATCACAAAGTGAAAACATCAACATGTGTGTGCGAGCGTGAGTTTGCAAGTGAAGATTTAGTAATTAAATCACAATCAAAATAATTGTGTAGTAAAATAAAGAAGAGTAAAATGACGCCATGATTTATATTAGTTCTGCTACATACGTCTACTCTAATATCCAAAGACTTCTCCTTATAGCTTTTGGACTCCTAGTCCTTCGGCCTCCTTGAACTTCGACAAATAAATCTTTGCTCATGGATAAAGATTTGAATGTAGCTATTCCAGATCATTTGGGAATTCCACAATGGTGCTTCTTGACTACATATATTGACGACTTGCATAGGTTTAAAGACAAATTCTTCTTCGATGAATATGAGAGATCAATAGCGGGAGTGAATATGAAAATTAGCAGAGTATACTCTATAAAGATTACACGAATAGATTTAGACAGTGGTATCTATATATACGGAAAATATCTCCCCAGGTCGTTCTGACGGGAACCGCCGTCCGAACTTGCCTATTTGAGGTGCTTCCAGCCTCCGGGTGGAACCTTTTGAAATTGCGCTCTTAATGAAATGTAGATTGTGTCTACAAAATTTCAATTTAAATCTCATTCGGGAATTTAGTTAAATAAATTAATGAAAAATACTGTGTTTTTATATACATTTTGGTGCATTGTTTTTCAATAATTAATTTAACTAACTTTCCGATTGAATTTTAATCTGAAATCTTGTGAACATAATATGCAGTTGATGAATAACAAGCTCACAAAATTTCATCAAAATATTCCACAAGAAATCCCTCAATTAGACAAGTTCAAACGGTGATTCTCGTGAGAACAACCTCATGTGATCATTACTATATGTATAGATATACATAATCTGCACTTGATTAAGAAGGGTTTGAAGATAG